GTTAATGGCATTTCTCTTCGAGGGAGATATTTGTCATAAATTTGGTGGTAAAAATACTGAAATTCTTAATTTCTTATATTTATAAATTTAGAATTGTCTTTATAATGTTCATTTGATTGTGATTTTCTCTCATGATACCAAAAGTGTCTGAGCAATATTTGATAGTACAAAATACATCAACAACTCCTGAAGAGCTAACTGTTTGTCTAGAAGACATATGACACTAGTAGTGTTCGATAAATATCAGATTATGGATAATAAATGAAGGCTCTGGAAGAGCTTATATACAAATATGTCATTCATACTGTATGATTATGGTTAAAACATATGTTGTAGTAAACCTGAAGTTTACTAATACAAATGGCTATCATATTGAGACTACGAATGATTGGAAGATTAAAAATATTCATGCTTCCACAATCATAGGGGGTAAAATAATATGTATATGAAAAGTTACCCGCCTTATTGTTTAATTTATATTATATCATGTATCACAGTAAACCAAAAGTTTTACTGTAGCAAAAGTAGCCACAGTAAGTCAGAAGTTTACTACTGCAAAAGTTTATGCCATAGTAAACCAGAAGTTTACTAAGAGATAGCACATGTCATGATAAACTTGAAGTATTCATTTGTCATTATTAAATGAGCTATTTGAGAATTCAGATAAGCATACTGAAGAACTAGAAGATTCTTCAAAAATTCTGTTGTGTTGTTTGTTCTCATAATAAATTGATTATACCATCTAAAGTTGGGACTAAGACCTCTGATTCTGAAATATATAAAAGGTGAATACGGGCCCATTCACCTATCATATGAACCACTTATAGATGCATATATGAGATGGTTATATGTGTGATTATTGTCAACCTGCAGTTTGGCATTTGAAATTGCTTTTCTCAAATAAGAGCATAATTTTCAGATTATGAAATCAAGACAGCTCATCTTAATAACGCTGGTTTATATCCAAGCCGTTTTAGCATTGAATACCTCCTATTAATGGCTAAATTATTGCTTATGAGAACAAAGCTTCATGTGTTGGTCTAAGATTTTTTTAAATTGCATACAACAACACTTGTATGCATCAGACCAACAATATATGATAAGTCCTCCCCTCACAATTGGTTTAGGATCAGAAACCAAATATTTTTACTATATAATAACTTTTGATGCATGGTATATGATTAATTTCTCTACCACAATACACAAAGATAGGTTTCCCAAAAATATTTTGGGATATATGTTAGTTTTCTAACATTAGGGGATGGAATAAGCAGTTGAAAAATACATTATATGAATCGAATTATCATTAGTATTATCCTCACTCAGAAGATAATTCAAGTCAAATGCCAGAAGCATTTGTTGATCCAAAATTAAATATCATATTTCTGCTGCAAATGCTCCTATTAAAATTAAAGTCCCTGAAGGATGGAGTTTATTGTACGCATGAAGTGTGGTAGACCAATAGGTTCCAAAGGTAATAATCCTTGAAAAGGATAGGAGAAAATGATCAAAATGATCATAATAAGGAGGAAATAAGCTCTAGAAGAGCCCACGACATAACATTTCATGAAACTCCTGAAGAAGTTCAGGTACCTGAAAATAAAGAAAGTGATGAGATCTCAACAAGTTATGTCGCTTGCAAACCGATACAAAATGATCGTCGACGATATATTTGATACAATATAGTGCACAATATTGTAAAAGATTCTGAGGATCGGACCTGTAGTCCAAACACCTGAAGATGTCATGACATTTAAATGTAAGTCATAACCTATATGACTCATTTGATTAATTCTATATGAAGATTCCTAAAAGATTTAAAATGCCTGAAGCATATAGTTCAAAGTCTCGAGAAATGTACTTGATCATATTACAAAGGTCTTTGTACGGTTTAAAGCAATCTGGGCACATGTGGTATAATCGCCTCAGTGAATATTTACTAAAAGAAGGTTATACTTGTTATTTATATTGATGACACAAATCTTGTTGGAACTCTAGAAGAGCTCCAAAAGGCAATTGAATATCTTAAGAAAGAATTTGAGATGAAAGTTCTTGGAAAGACAAAACTTTGTTTTGGTCTATAAATTCAATATTTAGCAGACATAATCTTTATCCATCAATCTGCCTATACAGAAAGGGTCTTAAAATGCTTTTACATGGACAAAGCACACCCATTGAGTACACCAATAGTTGTTCAATCACTTGAAGTAAATAAGGATCCGTTCCAACCTCCAGAAGAGGATGGGGAACTCCTTGGTCCTGAAATACTCTATTTCAGTTCAATGGATGCACTTATATATCTTGCCAATGCTAATAAAAGTGGTGCAAATCGTATTGGTTAAGCAAATGCAGGTTATTTATCTGATCCCCATAAAGCTCGATTTAAAATCGGGTATATGTTTACATGTGGAGGTATTGTCATATCATAGCGCTCCACAAAGCAATCTATTATTGCTACTTCTTCAAATCATGCTGAGATAATAGATATTCATGAAGCAAGTAGGGAATGTGTATGGTTGAGATCAACGTTTCATTTTATTCAGGAAAAATGTGGGTTGGATAAAAGATCCACAATTTTATACAAAGACAATGCTGCATACATAGTCCAATTGAAGGGAGGATTTATAAAAGGAGATAGAACAAAACATATTTCACCAAAATTATTCTACACACATGATTTTCAGAAAAATGGTGACGTTGATGTGCAACAAATCCGTTCAAGTGACAATCCGGCGGATTTGTTCACTAAATCTATGCCAACTTCAACTTTTGAGAAGATGATATATAAGATTAAAATGCGGAGATTCAAATATTTGAAACAAGATTTTCATCAGGGGGGAGTTAAATACGCACTGTACTCTTTTTCCCTTACTAAGATTTTTCCCCATGAGGTTTTTCTTGTAAGGTTTTTAATGAGGCAGCTAGAAATGCGTATTACTAAATATGTGTACTCTTTTTTGTTCACTAGGATTTTTCCCACTGGATTTTTTCTAATAAGATTTTAACGAGGCACATTATCTTTAAATGACATCCAAGGGGAAGTGTTATGAAAATATTATATTGTGGATGTCCATTTATTACTCTGATGTAGATAATATTTCTGAAGAAGATTATCCATTCAGTACTACATTGAAGTTTATCTACAAGTAGCTGATGCAGACAGGTTACAAGCAACTCAATGAAATGACTTACAACAGCTTCTTATTAAACAAGCAGGTTGCAAGCAGCTCATGCAGACAGCTTACAAGCAGCTTCCTGAAAAGCCTCATAGCTGCTTTCTGTAATCAGTTTGAAGTTGAATAATATATCAACCTCTCTCTCTATTATTCTTGAATTTATTTACTTTACAGTTTTTATTTTAAAACAAATACAAATTACTCAATTATACTTTGCTACCTCACTAGTCATTATTACTTTCATTTTTTTCTTTTTGTTTCAAGCATTTAAAAATAAAGGTAGTCTTCTCAAAGTCCATGCCCGTATTGAAATCAAAAGGCTTCACCTATACGCTAGAAGGCTTCACCTACAAAAGGCTAAGCTCCGGTCTAGACATAGATTTATTTTTTACTTTGTTTTAAATAGATTCTTGTGGTCCGATTCTTTTTCGAATCTCGTGCATAGCGGGAGTTTAGTGTACCGAGCTGCCCTTTGTTTCAAATGAAATTTTGAAAACATTGTTTGTTCATGAAATTTGATTAGTTTTTGAAAAGTTTTTGAAGAAGGATTTTCAAAATCCATTTTTTGGTGAAATTTCTTTTTCCACTCACAAAATTTTATTTCCAAGTAAAATGCACGTACAAACACAATTTATTTTTAAAATTATTTTTCAGCATAACTTCAATTCTTTTTCAATTTCAATCAAATTTATGTCCAAAGGCCACTTATTTTGTGATCGGTTTGATGTCCATTCAAATTATGGGCGTAGACATACAACATCTGCCGTTAATCACGGGCCCAATTACAAGAATGAGAAACACATGGCTTCGTACTGATATTCCCGATTCATTCACTTCGATCAGACCTGCCGTTCTATAATTGATTGTGGTGTTGGCAAGCCGGCACCCAACGACTAATTTGTAAGACCATGCATGCAGCAAAAAAGTATATCTTAAAAGCATGCAGGCCTAGTTTTTTTTTGAATAGTTCTTTGGAATTTAGGTCGGTTGCCTGAAGGTGAAGATAATGACACATATAACTAGAGTTCCAAAACATCACTATTTGGGTTTTACAAATTTTATGAAGTTAATCAGTTAGTTGTACTACCCGACTAATCAGATTGAGATTTTTAGTTCTTTTGTCTGTTTCTTGATAGAGTATTATTAACTCGAGAAACACCTTGCTTTTTTATATATATTGGATGTTAATTTGATGGCAACCGTACTTATGATGAGCACTTAGCGCAAGAGAAAGATTGTTGGGTGTTTGAAAAAAGTTCCATATTGGAAGCTAAGCAATAAAGAAAACGTTAACAATGTGATGCTTTTATAGAAAAACCATATGTGCTTAACTCAAAATGGCTAATATCAGATCATATATCAAGAGTATTTTTGGATTGACTACTTAGTCGAACAGCAAAATAATGTTTTACGGTGTATGGTGCATGAAGCCGGTTTGCACGTAGAATATCAAAAAGCAACAAGCTGGTCTGAATAGAATTGAATATTATTTCATGATTTCTTGGTAATTAATAGAGAAAGGCTGGAAGAACAAAATGTAATTTTTATTACGCAGGCCTCTAGCGGCAAAATATCTTCAATAAGAAACAGCCCTATCACATTGAACCCTTCACATTCAAGTTTTATCTTGAAAGATTTCTTTCCCTTTTTGGGGCCATGTGTCTATTAGATAGGATTATGTTCGAGTATTTAATTTTAATCTAGTTGACCCCTTTTCTATAAATTCATCACTACTTCACTTTGGATAAAGTCTCCTATTTTCATTCTTCATCTTTTTGATTATTAGTTGGGATCAGTGATCAGTTTCCATTACAACCTGTGGAGATGGAAAAAACTAGAAAAAGTGGTCAATCAACCATATCAGAAAATGCAGATAGTTCAGTAGAAAAAGAATTGGGTTGTGGTCTAATGGGTGTTTTTTTCCCAAGAAATACTAAGCCAAATAAATCAACAGCACCACCAATTCCAACCAAGTCCATTGACACCAATGCTGTCAGGAATTCAAGAAACTGGCGAAGCAGCTCTTGTGGTAAGGCATGTTTGGACTCCAGGAAATCAACTAAGCCTTCACCAAAACTAGGTGACAAACCATTCAGAAAATCATCCTTAAACAGTCCGAGGAATTCGACTTCTTGTGAACAGAATAATATTAGAAGATCTTCATCAGATGGTATGAGAAAATCGAATAAAGCATCATCCAATTTTTCTAGTGTGAGCAGGATATCACAAGTTGTGAACTTAGCATACACACAAAAGCTTAGAAGAGAACCAACTTTTACCTCAACTGATTTGAGCATGACAATCTTTAGTCATCGAAAATCCAGGACAAATGGAACGTTGAATCGCAGTTCAACAGGCAATGTTAGCAAATTAAGCCACTTGGGAAACTTGAAGTTGCAGGGGAACCAAAATCCCTCTAGTAACATAAACACCAGCCAGAAAAAAGGCAGTGGCTTGATGGGAAACATAGTAAGGCAACCTAGTGTAAGAAGCCATCAATCCGGGAGTACATTTCGCGGTTCTGCAAACAAACTAGACCCTGATGTACTCAAGTCCATAGGTAATGAGCAGTATAGACAGGGAAAGTTTGAGGAGGCATTGGCTTTATATAATCAAAGCAATTGAAATTGATTCAAAAAATGCTTGTTATTATAGTAATAAAAGTGCAGCTTTGATGAGTTTAGGCCGCATAATTGAGGCAGTGCTCGCATGCAGAGAGGCCATTCGGCTAGATCCTTCTTATCACAATGCACATTTTCGTCTTGCTAGACTATACCTCAGGTACTATATTTTGAGAAGATAGATATTTTTCTTAGATGGTGTTTTTTAATTTCATTCACGTACTCGAAAAATTATTCATTTCAACAGACTCGGAGATGCTGAGAAAGCAATAGATCATTATGAACAATCGGGACGGAAAGCTGACAAGAAGGACATTGCTGAGGCTCATGATATTAAGCGACAATCATAAAATGCAAAGAAGCACAGACGCTGAGAGATTACAACACATTGCTTAAGGAAACACATAATTCAATCTCCTTAGGAGCAGATTCAGCTCCACAGGTTGAACTAACCAGTTAATACCTATTGTACATGTCTAATAAAGTAAATTAGATGCTTAAAGATTCTAACTTTTTCCTTTTACTTTATTACAATCAAAGATCTTTGTCATGAGAGCTGAAGCCTGTTGAAGTTGCATAGACATGAGGAAGCATACATTACAATTCAGAATGGACCTGATTTTCAAACTGAGCTGTGTACTAGCCTTTTCGGTTCAGCAAAAACAGCATATTTGTTAATAGTTCGAGCTGAGGCCTATGCAACTATAGGCAAGTTTGAGGATGCCATGGTTGCAACTCAAGAAGCAGTGAAGTTGGATAAAAGCAATGAAGTAATTAACACAACAATAAGGAGAATTAGAGGGTTGGCATCAGCTCGGTTAAAGGGCAATGAGCTTTTCAAAGAAAATAAATTCTCAGAGGCTTGTTCCGTGTACACTGAAGGACTAGAACGAGAGCCATACAATTCTATTCTGCTATTTAACAGAGCAGCTTGCCGGTTCAAGCTAGGACAATTCGAAAAAGCAGTAGAAGATTGTACTGCAGCTCTTGCATTACGTCCTTCCTATGTAAAGGCTAGACTGCGAAGAGCTGATTGCAACATCAAGGTAATTCTTAGTGCCTAGTTTACTTTACCTATGTAGTTGGGCTGCAATTGCCAAGTAAGTCGCGTCTCGTAATAAGAATAGTATATTCCCTCTGTCCAATTCATATGATAAACTTTCTTTTTAATATCTCCAAAAAATGACATAATTTTTTGGGATCCACACCACTAGTGGTGTCAAATGGGTGAGTTGGACAAATTTTAGGCGGGTCAAAATAGATTGAATCAATATTTGATCCGCCCAAAAATTATTTGAGCTAAGGTGAGTTGGACCAAAATGGGCTAAATTTTGGGTCATAACACAACCTGCCCCAATTCTTATCAAGATTTTATTTAAAATGTGTTGTTTTCTTATGAATTGTATAATTACAAAATAAGACTTTTTTTTCCTTTTGTTATGGTCATATATAACGTATCAAACCCAAAAAATATATATATATATTCTAAGATATTTTGGCAAAGTACCCATGGATCAATTTGAGCTAAAAAATTAACCCAACTTTAAATGGGTTGATATAGGTTGGGTTGAGATGAGTTTGGTCAAGATAGGGTGAGTTCAATAAATGAACGGGTCAATAACTAGCCCAACCCGTCCAGGATTGGGTGGGTCATTTGGACTTGGGCCAAATTTGACAGCCCTACTCACCACCACTCATTTAAATAAAAAGATATGTGATATTTTCACCGTCACTCATTTTATGGGATAATTTTGGTACTTGGAGTATATATATTTGGCTTACATGTCAAAAGTCTTCTCTAATTTTTTATATTTTGTGCTCAATCAAACATCACCACATAAAATTGTACTGAGGGGCTACTTGTTTACTTCTTTTGTATATATGGTGATACAGTTGGAAAGATGGAAGGCAGCTATTCAAGATTGTCAAGTGTTGATGCAAGAAAATCCAGAGGATGATGAAGTAAGTAGGTTGTTTTTAGAAGCAAATGTTCAGCTTCAAAAGCAGCTAGAAGAGGACCATAACCAGAGAAATCTATTCAATGGTTCCAACTCCGCGCTTGTCTCCGGCAACTAACAATTTGTCTTTAGACTTATATTTTGGCACTCCCTTTAACATTTACTACACCAAAATTAGTACCAAATCCCTACGGTTATGTATCATGAATTACACATTCAACTTTCTAAAAATTTGCACAAAAGAAAGAAAAAGGGAAGAAAAAAAAAATCTTTCCTAAGTTTGCATATGCAAGAGCTTGTACAGACAAATGCAGTTTGGATCGTCATTTGGTCTGTGTTAATGTTTACTAGTCACGCAGCTGTCGCAAAAGTCTAGTAAGTAACTTATAATAAGTTATTACTACCTCCGCACCACACTACACAAAAATATTTAATAGCTCTAGTCATAAAAAAAAATTCAAATTATCATTTCTTTTTCTTTAAACATCCTACTTAATTAATATTCCTTCGATCCATTTTAATTGATTTTTTGGCCTTTTTTTGTGATTTAATATTTGAATTTTTTGGATATCAAGAGAAAATTAACTTCTTTTTTTCAAAGTTGCTCTTGGAGTAAAGAGCCTAGAATATTTGTTATAATTTCAATGAACTTTAATTTTATTGTTAATTAATGTTAAAAGGTGGATTCCTTAAATGTGTGAAAATAACCAAAAAAATTAATTAAAGTGGAACACAAGAATTACTAACCTAATTGAAACAATATGGATAGATCAAGTGACTTTTTAACCTAAAACGCCAAATATATCAAAAATAAATTCAGTTTATCAAAACGATCAACATGTGACCGAACAAAGTAATAACTATCTAATCATTAGTATAAAGAAGTTCTAAAAAAAACTTAAATTTAATTTCCACCTTGTAGCCTTTAAATTATTGTGGAGGCTCGCAACTATCATATCTGTTAAGTACTCTGCTCGTAACCATAACTCAATTTTAGAGATATCGGCAAATTAAGAAAAACCACATCCTTTGACTTTTGAGAACAGAAAAAGAGAGAAATCAAAGCAACATATTAGAGAGCACCCCAACATAAAATAAGGAGAAAGAACCAACTAAAGAACATAAACCAAATAAATTCAAAATTGCCAGTTTATGGACTAATATTACTTTTAGAGACGCTACTGGCTCCCTTTCACAAAACAATGATTGATTGACTTTCAATTTTAACTAGGAAATTTTATATGCTATAACTAAATAATGCACCATATCTGTTATAAATAAATATACTTTAAACTAATTATAATACTTAGCTACATATTTGGTTTTATAGCAAATACCCTCTCTAAGGGATTCTGACTCTAAAGTAATTTTTTCCTCTCTTCCTCCTTTTATCTTCATACTGTAGCCTAGCCGCCTCCCTATCTCCCTTAAACTCTCTATCTTTCTGGTATTACAATCTCGCGGGAAAACCACCACCAGCCTAACTCGTCGGAACATTGCCGTCCGACCTCCTTTTTATTTATTTTTTCTGCTTTGTACTCTCTCCTCACTCTCCCGCTATGAAAATTCCCCAAATTTAGTACCTCAAATTCCTCAATCCAGATCGGCCTCGTTTTTAGCTCCATCGCCGTTGTCATCTCTGGCTAACCGACCGAATTTCTCAGATCCGAGTGTATTTTTCTCGGATTTGAGTATATTTTATTTCTTGTGGCCTAATTAAATACAATGAAATACATATTATGACCAGATTTTTGTTCATTTGACCGATTTTGGTAGATACAATGTAATAGTGCACTCTCATATCTGGCCAAATTTTTGTTCGTCTCTATTTTTTAGTTTTAATATAATGTATACAGTATTATGCTTGGCCAGAAGATGTCATCTCCGGCGAACTTTCTTCTCTTCTTTGCTATTGAGTCATATACAATGATACAAATATATTGTATTTTTTAATGCAAATACAGTTTATTTTTTTAAATATTTTCCTGCATTTATGTATTGTGAAGGTTTTTTTTTGTGGACCAAATTAAATATAGTAAATTGAATAGAGTGTAAAAGTATCTACGAATGAATACGGTGAATTGAATACAACCGAATGTCACTATTTTTTGTTGTTTGAATACAGTAAAATTGAATGTATTATAAAATAGTTAAGAATGAATGTAGCGGAATTGAATACAGTATATACTGCTGAATTGAATAGAATATTATACACCATATTTCCTGATTTTTTATTGTTTCAATACAAATGAATTCAATACAGTGAAAGTTAATACAATGTAAAATATATAAGAACGAATATATCCAAATTGAATACAATGTATACAACCGAATTGAATACAGCGACATACATTCCATAGCAAGCAATTAGTAGCCACAGAATATAATTAGCTAAATTATAGTTATGCCCAACAATAAGCCTCCAACAATAGTCATTTCTAAAAATTATTTAGTGGTGATGAGTCATATCTTGATCCTTTCCCTCACAAAATGACAATCAATCTCTATGTGCTTTGTTCTCTCGTGAAATATGGGATTGGCTGCTATTTGCAAAGCAGCTTTGTTGTCACAGTATAAATGTATTGGTTTGATCACATTGTTACCAGTTCTTCTAGCAGCCCAACCATCCAAACTGCGTCTGCAACTGTTGCATCCATGCTTCTAGATTCTGCTTTTGCTGAGCTTCTGCTGATTGTTTGTTGCTTCTTGGACTTCCAGGACAACAAGGAGTCTCCTAGTTTGACAATGTACCATGCGGTCGACCTTCTAGTAATTGGTCAAGCTGCCCAATATGAGTCGCAAAATACTGTTAAGTTGTTTGTCTCACCTTTTTTCAGCAATACATCCAAGCCTGAAGATCCCCTGATGTATCTCACCACTCTCAAAGCTGCATCCATATGTGATCGTTTAGGATTCTGCATAAATTGACTCAACACTTGCACAACAAAACTTATATCTGGTCTTGTGATAGTCAAATAAAGCAGCTTTTCTATCAACTTTTGGTAGCTTCCAACATCCTCCAATAAATTATCTCTTGTGTTCCCAACATCGTTGTCATAGTACACAATAGTATGTTTATGATTGATTTGCATTGGAGTTGCAACTGACATGCAACCACTCAAACCTACCTCTAAAATAAGCTCCATGGCATATTTTCTCTGGTTCAATGCAATTACTCCTTGCGATCTCAACACCTCTATCCCAAGAAAATATCTAAGTTCCCCCAAATCTTTCACTTTGAAATTGTGGTGAAAAATCTGCTTGACTTTTGTAATCATACTGTGAGAATTCCCAGTTATCAACAGATCATCCACATACACAAGGATGATCACAATGTTCTTGATACTTTTCTTGGTAAAAAGTGAATGATCATGTGAGCTCTAAGAGTATCCAGCTTGCAGCAAAGCATTTTGTGATGACCTGATAGGTCATCTCATCTTTTAAAACTAAATTCGGTATTCTGAATCCTTAAATATCCTATTTTAGCCTTCCTCAATTTGAGTGAGTAGTACAAGTGTTTTTCCAGAAGGTTTATATGTTAAAAATTGATAAAAATAAGAATTTTTGACTTAAAAGTTAAATTGAATTGACTTCGGTCAACGTTTTGAGCAAACAGACCTAGATTCATGTTTCGACGGTCTCGATGGATTCATATCGTAATTTGGAACCTGGACATATGCCCTAAATCGAATTCTGAGGTCCCTAGCTCGAGATATGAAATTTTGATAAAAAATTAAAGTTTGAAAGTCTAATTGTGATGACCCAAAAGGTCATCTTATGTTTTAGAACTCGATTCTGTATTCCGAGGCCTTAAAAAACCTCATTATATTCCTCCTCGATTTGTATGTGCAGTCAACGCGTTTTCGGAAAGCTTTAATGTGGAAAATTGCTAAAATAATAATTTTTGGCCTAAAAAGTTTATTTTATTGACTTCGGTTAATATTTTGAGTAAACAAACTCGGACATGTATTTTGATGGTCCCGGTGGGTCCATAGTAAAATATGGAAACTGAGCATATACTCGGAATAGCATTCCGAGGTCGATAGCTCAAGATATGAATTTTTTGATTAAAATTGAAAGACTAAAATTATAATGGTTTAAAGAAATTTGGTAATGTTTGATCTTGTTGGTATCGGGTCCGTATTTTGGTTTCGAAGCCTGGTACAGGTCCGTTATGATATTTATATCATATGTGTGAAATTTGGTAAGAAACGAAACTGATTTGACGTGATTCGGATGTCTGGTTGAGAAGTTAGAAGTTTTATAACTTTCTTGAAAATTTCATTCAATTTGGTGCTAAATTCATAGTTCTAGGTATTATTTTGACGATTTGATCGCACGAGCAAGTTCTTATGATATTATAAGACTTGTGTGCATGGTTGATTTGGAGCCCCGAGGGCTCGGGTGTGTTTCGGATAGGCTACGGGATGATTTACACTTAGAAAATCTGGTGTGTTTGTTGTTTCCGGTGTGCTGCTATTTTGTGCTTCGCGATCGCGAAACCACTCAGGATCGCGAAGTGTAAGCTAGGCTAGGGATGGATTTGTTCTACGCGAACGCGAAGCCTTGGTCGCGAATGCGGAGCACTCGGGGTTTGCTCTTTGTGAACGGACCAGCTTGACACGAATGCGTAGTGTATTGGAGGTGGGTTGGGAATCATCGAGTTGTTCTACGCGAATGCGAGCTTAGGCTCATGAACACGAAGGTAAGGAGGGACAGACCATTGCGAATGCGTGCAACTCTTCACGAACGCAAAGGCCTTTCTGGCCGTTGTGCATCGCGATCGTGGCAGGTCTCTCACGAACGCGATGAAGACTTGTCCAATGATTTTCAAAACAGAATAAAAATGGGACTTCTTCTCAAATTTCATAGTTCATCACTAGAACTAGTGACGATTTTTGAAGAGGGAATTCAACACCAAATCTTGTTCTTTAAGGGTAGAAAATTAGGGATTTTGGGAGAATTGGGGATTTTGCAAATTTGGGGATTTAGACCTCAATTTGAGGTCAAATTTTGGAACTAATTATATATTTGGGCTCGGAGGTGAATGGGTGAATGACTTTTGGTCTGAACCTCGAGTTTTGACCAAGCAAGCTCGTGGTCGGTTTTTAACTTTTT